GTGTGTGTGTGTGTGTGGCTTCCCTCTTGGTGGACAAAACAAAACCCATAGTGCCCATGACAACAAATAATAGAGCTATGGGTGGGCAGTGGCCACTTCCTGTCTGCCAACCAATTACAGCCCAGTGTATAAATAGCTGCTAATAAATTGCTGGAAAATTACAACAATGAGACAGAACAAAATATGAGTATCTGATTATATGCATGGCCACACACATCACACACTCACATGGCCACACTCCCCATGCTCCCTTAAGCTACCTTGTGACTACTGTAAGTCATGTTAACATTGACAGGACAGGGGGAGGGTGAACAGAGATCTAGGGGGAAGTATTTTGCACCCTCCCCAATCCTTCTTCGTTAGTGGAATGTGGGTGAGGGTGGCTATGAGGGGTAAGAACAGCTGTGAGAGGGACACAGACCCCTCAAATATAGCTGAGACTGGAGGAAATAATGGGTGTGGAGGAGGGAAGAGGAGGGCACTAATTGTAGATGTGGTTATTATGATGTGAGATAGCGCACATACCATAACCTGCCAGGTTATGGTATGCGTTGACCTAGCTCAGTTGTGTGATGCCACCGTGACACAGCAGCCTGAAGGTGAGCTTCAGCAGGTCTGACACAGTAGCAGTTAACAGCTTTGACCTACTATTGTCACAGTAGCACGTAATGTATGTGACGTATGTTACTAGCATTAAACAGCAGATTTAAGCAAACATTTCTGGTGTGCCAATTCTGAATGGATGTGGTTGTAATTAATATTCAAAACTGTAAAAAACATAAAGTAAACTAGTATATGTTGTATAGACATGAGAAACATTTTTATCTTAAATAAAACAAAATCTTGATTTACTTACCTATAAAAATGCTTGTTTTCCTTTAAAAAAAATGGCATAATTTTGCCAACAAGATCTAAACTACAACTGAAGACAGCACAATAAATAAAAAAATAAGTACCACTAATACTATATGTCTTTAAGTCTCAAGATTTAAGACTAATTCCTTCCATGACCCTGCATTGTCCTCTAATGCGTTTGGTTTCTAAGCCTGTGGATATTTACAAGATGCAAATAACCAACATATATAATGTTCAAAATGAGTCAACACTTGCCAGATAAAATTGGAAATCGATTACTCTGCTTTGATAGTTAACATAGTATTCTCATCCGCAACTTAACTGAATCCTAGAGGTGTTTCATAAATGTTTAGTTGGATGCAACTACAAAATTAAGCAGTCAATATTATAATCTGAATCAAGACCTCATAACAAAAACCCAGTTATCCAAAAGCATGTAAATACTTCTTACCTGGTTACAGGTGGTGATGTCTACTCCATTTTTCAGGAAATCGAGGACTTTGTCTATGTTCCCGGCTCTGGCAGCCCGCAGGAAACTGGTGTTACTGTCGGACTAAACAGATGAAGACAGAAAGGAAGTAATATTAGGAACAGCAATACAGGTATGTTTTTAGTGTTTCGGTTTCATTAAGTCTCTTAAGGTCTCTTTTTTTGGTATTCCTGGTACAGGTAGAATACTTATAAAGGTAAAAGTAAGGATTAGTTAAAGAACATATATTTAGGCCAGACTCTATTTATTATACAAAATATATTGCATATACGCGCACACACAAATACAAAAAAATATTTCAGACCATGTAGTTTCCAACGTTTTTACAGACATGATTCATCTCTTAGTTCTGTTTATGCTCAAATCTGCATTAAAAAATTAAGTCAGTTTAGAATGATGGATGTGGCTTGTTATTGCTGTGCATGATGGGAGTTTATCTGATATAAAAGGCTGATGCAGAGGGTTCAGAGAGGGTTTTATCGTTTTATGGAGGTCAGACTTCCGGCTTGTATCAATAGTTCGTCTGAGTAGGCTATTCTAAATTTAACCACCAGCTATCAAGACTGCACAAGCAGCTGCAACAAACACACACACACACACACACACACACAAACACACATTTTGCTGCATTTATGTAGGCTATCCACTGAATTTAAAGTTGACTTTAAAGTTCACTGAACTCCTCACAGAGTGTTCTCAGGGAGGATGTTTTACAGTTGAACCTTATTATCAAAGCTATAAGGGTCCAAAAATATTTCAAAATTTACAATATAAAGTCTGTTGATATATTAATCATTATCAATCAATTATTTGATTATTCAACTATTTGTTTGGTAAAAATGTCAGAAAATTGAGAAAAATGCACATAAAAAAATGTCTGGAGCTTTTATTGTGCCACATGAATGCCACACTACTCTTACAAAAGAATACTGTCTATACTAATCTGAAAGAGTGTTGACAAGGTTTTAACCTCTTTAGTGGGACAGTAACACGTCAGTCAAACACCCCTGGGTGTTAACTTGTGAGGTCAGCACAATTAAACTCCCCATTGCATGTCTGGGATGAGGCCACAACCATGTGTAAGGTCAAGGGTCAGACGTCTCACACACACACACACCCCCGCAGAAAAGAGCACTTCTTCAGTGCAACATATGTAACAGAAAAGCTGATGAACCGTGTTTCTGTCCACCTCTTACCAGTGAATCATCAACGTCAGATCCAGAGTCAGCTGCTCCGTAGTAGTCCGTGTGATGGTTTGAATCTTTGTCACTCCCACTGCTCTTTAAAGCTTTATCTGATCCACAGGCCTTACATGATGCTGCATTGCCCATGGTTACCATCCAAATCAGATAATAATTCCCCAAGCTGAAAACTGTGGCCTTTCCTCACTCACTTCACTTCACTTACTGTTTGCTATTATCATATGCTCCACCAAAGTCCACTCCTTGCAGTTTCTCACTTTGCGTCCTTAGGTTAAAAGCCTCTCCGGCGCACTTTCCTGTTGCTTGCCTGCATCAGTCAATCTTACAATCCATTAAATTTCACTTACGTTACTAATACCACAACTTTTCCCCTCTCTGTGCCCTTTTATCCCAGTCTTCTCTTCATCCAGTTTTGGATACCTCTGCCTTAGGGTGTGCACTGAGTCTAGCCAAGGCCCAGTCATGCCTACTCCTCCTATACCTCTCCTCTCTCTCTGTAGGATAACAACTGCAGCCATAAACACTAAACCCTCACTGTCTCTCCCGCCTTGGCTATTTTTACCTTTCCAGACCCTCTCTCCAGTGAAGACCACAACCCCTTGCTGTGTGTACCCAGGGTGGGGTGCGTGACAGCTGGGTTGGAGTCAAGCTGGAGACCGCATGGCCTGCGGTGCTCTCCAGGAACGCCGGGGGTCATGGTGGGATGATAGTTGAGCCTTAACACAGCACTCAAATTTCTGTAACCTTACGCAAAACACATTGTTCATCATTCAGAAAGCAGCACATGCTTTTACAGCCATGGTTGCAGAATATCCCAGATACTGGTTCAAACTTTGGATAACAAGTTTATATGTCTCTTCAGACTGTAATTACAAATGCACATCATAACAGACTTGCAAACAAGTAACAAAACCAGAAACATTACACTGAATGCAGTAGTACACAGAAGGCACTGTCAGTACTGTCTGTCTATGTTTCAGTATGTCTCTCATTCGTCTCCATGCCAAGCAAACCCCCACACAAGCACAGATTGGATTGATTGAGAACCAGCTGTAATCTCTCTATCTGTACAGGATTTGACCTGCAGTTCATCATGTACTGGATTATACACTATACAGTACTTTGTCCAAGTGTACTTACACTGGAGGAACATCAAAACTCTACTCAGTATCATAAACATCTCATTAGCAGCTGCATTTATGTGCACACAAGGCCACTTACGGTTATTTAAAACCACTGTCAAGGCCTGCATTATCATACCAAGTATACTCACACGATATTAATTTGATGAGAACAAGAGCTGTCAAACAGGTTTGATCCAAATAAGGTAACCTGAGTGTGTGCCACTTAGTGTATTCAGAAGTCATTTATTGTATAAACTACTACTAACAGTTCACAAAAAAATAATTATTTAATCTACATCACCAGTTCAACCAAGTGTCACACAGGAGGCATTTCAGCCTCATCTTCCAGCATGAGTGAAACACAAGCAGTTATAATGCCTTTGTAAACAGCTGGATTGTTTAAAATACTGTAGAAGCATCTGTTCTGTCAGGTATTTTTTGACTCCACTCTTTTTCGTTCTCCATATATTTGTACTTCATATCCAACATATTCTTTCATTTTAAATATCACCAAAAGGTTGCCCCATACAACGTCTGGTACCATCAGCATGTGACCTCACTCTGAGCTTGAGCTTTTCTCACATCTGTCATCTATTCCACCATCATCTATCTCCCTCACCCTACACGATAAATCATCTGAGAGGACAGCAGGACAGCAAACCACAGCACACTGTAACCGGTCAACCACATACACATCTGTACAACCCCCACAACCCACTCTCACACACAATGTCCTAACACCGACACTAACAGTATACCCTTAAACCCATGGAGGCATGTGTTGGTGAAATCAAAATGGTAACATGAATCAAACTTGAGGATAAGACTTCGTCAGAGGATTGTGTGTTTTACCTGCCGCTTTCGCTCGGCTCTCTCGTGCTGCCGTCTCCTCCTCTCCCTGGCTTTCTGTAGAGCTCTGTACTCGACAGTTTGCTCGAACTCTCGAGCTTTCTTCAGGTGGGCCGCAGCATGGGCCATGACTTCACCTTTCTACCTCTCAAAAAAATGTTTTACTAGGTAGTGAAGTTACACTTAGTTAACTTTCATACGTCCTTAACTAACACTAAGCACCACATATACACTTAAACATAGCAAATTAGTGTTTTGAACTAAAATTCCTTACACCATGGATTGACTCAAAAAATGATCCTGTCTCAAACTAAAAGTTTCCCTGCTTTTCAGTTCTTCTCATAAGTCTTCTCTCTCTTCTTAGGAGAAAGTTCAGGTGGAAAATCAGCCTTTGTCCATCCAAATCAAGCCAGGAAACAGCTACTAGATTTTCACATTCTCACACAAAATGCTCAGAGGTCCCCACGTCCATATACGCTTACTGAAAGTTAACCATTCACATTCATGTGCACAAACATGAGAGAGGGACAATGACTGAAGGGTTCCTGAATGATGAGAGTAAGACCCATCCGCTTACTCACTACATATCCCAACACACACACGCGCGCACACACACGAACACAAGGAATGACCCAGTCCAGATGTACATGAAAACCCTACTCCATGAGAACAGATGTGGCTACAAAGCGTGTTGGTGTGTGTGTGTGTGTGTGTGTGTGTGTGTGTGTATGTGGGCTACAGTCATAGGAAAAGTGTTTATTGTGTGAGGGGTTTAGGGAGGCTACATGCCAACAGCCAGCTGACTGCTACAGCCGTAACTACTCTCTCTCTTACTACCGCTGTGAAAGTGTACTCTATCCTGAGGGAAAGAGGGACACATGAGTGGAAAAGGAAGTTTAATTGGTGAGGAGGGGAGATAGGTTGGACTAAAGGGAGAGACTGGGAGAAAAGAGGGGAAATAAGGTGAATATTAAAACCATTTTGTGAAGGATTGTCCAGTGTTTCCAGCGCTTTCATTAAACAGCAAGGTAGAAATGAAAATCTACTTTTGTGTATTTGCAAAGGTTCAACCAAAAAACCAAATGAGTCGGTAAACAATGTCATACAATTAGTTGTGTTTTCATGTGTCTTATTTTAGCTAAACATTATAATTTTTACCTTTTTGTTTTTTACATTGCTTTCCATCTTCTTCTGTTTATTTCACAGATCAAGTTGAAGGCTAAACCTTTTGGAGATGTTAGGAGATTTGTGAACTTACATGATCACAAAATCAGTGACATTAATGGTCTTCTTGTGTGTCTTTGTGGAAAGACCTTAAAATGGTAGGGTAGCAGTTTGGATATCTGAAAGAAAAAAAACAATCTACAATACAGAAAGAAGAACATTATACCAGATGAGTGAGGTAATTTGGGACAGAAGAGGACACGAATATAAACAGTTGATTAAATAAATGAAACAATAATGAAAAGAGGATGAAAGGGGCAGCT